AACACATTTTGTTGGCTCATAAATGGGACACACAGCAAAGCCAGGAGGAACTCGATTCTTGCCTTTATAGCCTGCATAAGAAGCTCATGCTTTTGTACACCTTGCAGCATAGAGCAGAGCAAGAAAATGAAAATTGTACCCTGTGAGTGCCCAAGTTCAGAGAGAAGCAGAAGGAAGACTTACAAACTGGATTCAAGAGAGCGGAAAAATATTTACCTCAAATAAATCCATCTTCTCCTCAGTAAGGACGAGCATCTGTGGATTTTTTAAACATAAAAATAATTGACCTTGGCAATTACACATTCTTTCAAAAGCTATATAATGAGAACAGGATTCTGGGTACAAGAGCAAGACACCAAGTTGTCTGCTCTCAGACCAGTTACATTCTAGTCGGGGAGAGATGGACAACACATAAGAAAATCAACAAGAAGATTCAGAAAGTGGGAGGTACCATGAAGGATTAAAACAGGAAGTGAGATGACAACGAGGAAAGAAACTCTTCTTGAGGTTAGTGGTCCAGGCGAGGTGACTCGGGTGGTGGTGGAGCTTTGACTAGTGAGAGAAAAGGAGACAGCCACGGGTATACCTGGGGGTAGAGATTTTCAAGCCAAGAAAATGCAAACACTAGGATCTTATTCCGGGGATGATCTGTACCTCAGTGTAAGTAAGAAGGGAGAGGGTTGAAGAACTCATCGGGGCAGCCATGTTCAGCTTACCAGTCTTACCACTTGGTGACCATCAGCCCTAACAGGACACAGCCCTACACAGTAGCCCTGCTGGTTATATTAACATTTTAAAGCTTGTTTTACCAAGGAACTATGCCAAGGTCTCTACGTATTTCATGTTGATAGCATTTCTATGGCATAAAAACAATCATGTTCATTTTATACTGAATCAAGTGAGACCCAGAGAGATTAATTAACTTGCCCAGTCATATAAAGGAGACCGTGATATGAATCCTGATCTGTAAGAACTGAACAGAAAAATGAGGTATATGAGAGTAACTCTGGTGTTTTAATTACAAACACAGTTGAAAGACCCAAGAGTGCTCTGAAAATTGGCAACAAGTATGAGAACAGGAATTCATAGATTTTTATTTGCCCAGAGCATATACATGAAATTTTAATTTAGAGAGATAGTGCCATTTGGTTGCTTTCTGTCTTCAATTTTTTTTTTTTCAAAATTAAAATCCTGGCTGAGTATGGTGGCTCTTGTCTACAATTTTAGCACTTTGAGAGGCTGAAGTGGGAGGGTCACTTGAGCCCAGGAGTTTGAGACCAGCTTGGGCAACATAGCAAAACCTCAGCTCTACAAAAAATCAAAAAGTTAGCTAGGCATGGTGATGCATATCTGTGGTTCCAGCTACTTGGGAGACTAAAGGTGGAAGGATCGCCTGAGTCCTGGAGGTCGAGGCTGCAGTGAACTGTGATTGTGCCACCGCACTCCAGCCTAGGCAACAGAGTGAGACCCTGACTCAAAATAAATGTGTGTGTATGTGTGTGTGCGCGCGCGCACACGTGTGTGTGTTGGAGACTCACATTGTCACCCAGGCTGGAGTACTGTGGCATGCTCATGGCTATTGCATCCTCGACCTGCTGGACTCAGGTGATCCTTCTTCTTCAGCCTTCCAAGTAACTGGAACTACAGGGATGTGCTATGATGCCTGGCTAATTTTTTGATTTATTGTAGAGACAAGGTCTTGCCAAGTTGCCCAGGCTGGTCTGGAACCCGTGGGCTCAGGCAATCCTCTCACCTGGTCCACCCAAAGTGCTGGGATTATAGGCATGAGCCATCATATCAGGTCTTTTTTTAAAAAAAATCCTAAATAAATAAACTGCTGATTCTGGGTTCCTGTATAGTTTTGAACTTACAGCCACTGTGAACCAAAGTGTGGTGCACAGGACAGGAACACGTATCAGGCGTGTTTTTCCTTTGTCAACTCGGCTTAGACATCCTATTCACAGGATGCAAACCATCCGCAGTGCTCAGCCCAAATCCCAGAGACTCTTCCATACATAACCTGGTCTGCTCTGCTGGCCATGTTGACCCAAAATATAAATCAAAACAACTCAACAATTAGCCAGTTCAAACACAACTAGTTTGGCAGTTACGTTGACTGAATTGGCTGTTAAAGCATCTTGTAAAATACTATGACATTGAAGACACAGCCCAAAGTCCTGGTGATGATTTACTTCATTAAAATAAAGACTGACATATAGGGACCCGCATGCCCTTCTTTCTAGAGTGAAAGTTCCTTTCACTGTTGATTTCCCCTTCATGCCTGCTTAAAAGACATGGATTCATTAACATTCTTCCCTACAAGAAGAGTTATTGAGCACAGGTTTTGTCTTCTTGAAAAGGTTCTCTTTGACATTTCAGAGAGGAGAAGATCAAGTTAGGTGCCGGGGACCAGCTCCAGCCGGGTTCAGGGTACCCCAAAGGTGGAGACAGCAACGGTGATTGAGGGGAAGAAGAGAGAGAAAGAGAGAGAGAAAAAGAAAGAGACTGGACTCCAGTCTAGTGCAGAAGGGATGTGTGTTATTGGGAATTACAACGGGTCTTTTATACACAAAGTCAGGTGTGGAAGGGGCATCCCCCACCCACCAGAAACCTTAATCCATGAAAACTTAATCAATGATTGCCTTTAAACCCTTTTCATATGATAATCTGAAAATCCCATAACAAAGGATAACCTAATCTGTGACTGACATATTCTATAAACCTTTTTCATCCTAAACTGATAGATTTATGCCAAGTTAAACAATTCTATAGAAGCTTAAGTATTTACTTTATAAACGAAAGTGGCCCATCCCAGAATGTTTGGAATGTGGCCCAGTCCAAAGTTCACAGTGGCTACCTGCAAGTAACCCAGCTGCATTCTTTCAACAAAATGGCTGTCTTCTAAAACTATATTCTACAATTTACACCTTCAATAAATCCTAAGATCATGATCCGGAAGCCTGTGACCAATACTAAGGTTCTTAGATGTGACACGAGTTTGAATTATAAGTTGTGTGAAAGCCAAAACTGCAGTTTGTGGAAGAATGGGAGCGATGAGCTTCTAAAGTTAGCTTGTGTTCATCCTGATCTCAGAGTTTCTATGTTTTGAGCTCACAGGAGCTTAATCTGGTTAGTGCTGAGTAGAAAGGGGGAGGAAATGGGGTCAATAGCTCCCAAACGCATCCTAGTGGTCTTGGGGTCAACGGCCCTTCCTGATCCCTAACGCTCAGTGGACCTCCATGGCCAGCTCCCAACATCTTTCCCTTTTTTATTTTTTAGCACGAAACCATGAAACTCCATATTGCTCTTCTTTAGCACTCTGAAGATGATTAGGAGTAAACACAGCAACAAAAGAATCACTGCTCTGCAAATTCCCACATTGATGAGTATAGACATTAATGATTTTTGATTAGTAAATGATGCCTGAATTTCTTGATGTAATTTAGTAAGGTCTATACTCAGGTCTGAATGGTTCCAAATTCCAAGTTACTTTGTCCCAAGTATGGACAGATTTAAACTCAGAGTGACATTAGAGAGCCAATTTCTAATGTCACAAGTTCTTGCCCTACTGCTAAAACTCCTTCCTCCAAAGCACTAACCTTACTTTCCAACTTCAGGAAATCATAGTTATGATTTCCTGAATAGCTATGGCAATAGAAACGTTTTTAGACAGCCGATCAGCAAACGTAGTTGTATGAACTTCCCTAGATAATGCTACAGCTCAAAAGTAGCTATTGAAGCTGTAACTCCTAAAATTAAAAGTAGCCATAAATCTTTTCTGTCTTTCTAAAAGAGCATTAGCCTCATACAATATCTGTAAACCATATGCATCATACCAACGAGATGACAATTATACAAG